AATGGAGTTTTACATTCTAATGGTGGGAAGCAACAAAGAAGAAAAATCTATGGCGTGTTATATATAGCAGTATGGAAAGATACGGCAGGGGAGATAGATAGAAAGTGTTGGTATGGAGAGCAACTTTAAATCAGGAGGTCAGGTAGGAACTCAAGAAACAGGGGACATTTAAGCAATCACCTGTTGAAGGTGATGGGGTGTGTCATGTGGATATCTAGGGGAAAGATAGTTCTCAGCAGTGAGAACAAGGAACGTGCATGCCAGGTTCATGGGGCAGCAATGTGGACAGGACACAGAGCAGAGTGAGCAGAGGGAAGAAGAGTGAGAAAGAACTCAGAGAAGCACAGCCAAGAGCCTTGTGGGTTCCTCTGTGGAGTTCTACTTTCACTCTGAGTGAAATGAGGAGTCACTGAAAGACTTTGTGCAGAGGGGTGTCATGAAATGACATATTTTTGAAGATTCACAATAGCTCCTATTATGATAATAGATGGGGGCGGGGAGGAGCAAGAGCGGAAACACAGAGGCTGTTAAGTTATTGCACCTAAGGGTTGAGCGTGGCTTGATCAGTCCAAAGCTGCTAAGCACCTTGTCCAAGGTCACATAACTAGTAAACGTGGAAACAGGATATGACACAGAGACAGATTTCAGCCACGACTGGATGTTCTCTAAAAATTTGCACGTGAATAAAATCAGGACAAAAACACTAAAGTTCCCATTTTGAAAAAGTTATCAAAAGCCATGTTTATTTCACCTTGCTGCTCTCTCATTGAATTAGGAAGCCTCTAGGCTCTTGGGCCAATGTGCTGCTCTCCTTTCCGGTATACTTTCAAAATGCCTACAAAATGTTCAGATAAATTGGATACAGGTTGTGAGAGAAAGAGGAACCAAATATATCAACTCCAGGATTTGTAATATAGAGCATGAAAGTTGCCATTGACTGTGATGGGGAAGACAAGTTTTATGGAAAAGATCACGAAATAGGTTTTATACAAGTGGAGAAGGAGGTGTATCCAAATAGAAATGACAAGTGTGTGACTAATATCGCAGCATGACTGGTTCGTTCTGAGTGCCGTAGACAAACTGACTTGTTAAATATTTGGATTACCACAAGCCATTAAATATTTCAAATATTATTTTTGATGATATCTATTAATTGGTATTGCAGTTGTCAACCTCACTCATTTGGTACATAATGCATATATCCAGGCTTCTTTTCAGTGAAAAAGACACTTTGATCATGTAAAATTCCTTTTCTCAAGGGTCTTCAGTGGCTCCATAGCCAACGCAATAAAGTCAAAATTTCTTCATGTGAAATGTACAGCCTTTCACAATTTGATCCAAATCAACTTTAGATGAGCTCTACTTTAGTTACATTGGGCTTGTTAGAATCCTTCATACTTAGGCTTGTCCACCTCCGTTCTGTTTATGTTGCTCTCATTACGGCAATATACCTCAGATCTCACCACCTCTCAAAATCCAATCCACCCTTCAAGGCCCAGCAGAAACTGAAGCTCCTTCCATAACAATCAAGGCTGAGAATGAGCTCTCTACCCTCTGGATCCTCACAGGCAGCTGTGTGTGTGCGCAAGTGTATGTGTGTATACAGTAATTTCATTAGAAGCAGGGACCTTAGCTTATTTTCCTTTGGCATCCATTCAGTGCCAAGTATGAAACCTTGATTGATTGATAGCCCTTTCCTTTTTTCGTATAATTTGTTGCACAAATAATTTGATCGATATCCCTATCTTTAAGGTCATATTATTATTAGTATCTAAGCTTTTATATGTATTATCATAGATAGCAAGGAGGACACCATTGTGCCCCTGGAGGAGGACACTGTGACTATTCTTATTTTACAAATGTGGAAGTTGAAGGATGCCTGGGTGGTTAAGTGTCTGCCTTTGGCTCAGGTCATGATCCCAGAGTCCTGGGATTGAGTCTTGCATTGGGCTCTTTGCTCAGCGAGGAGCCTGCTTATCCCTCTGCTTGTGCTCTGTCTCTCTCTCTCTGATAAATAAATAAATAAATAAATAAATAAATAAATAAAATCTTTAAAAACATTAAAATATTAAAATTTGATCCAAATTAAAATTAAACAAAATTAAAAAACAAAAAACAGCAAATATGGAACTTGAGCCTCAGAGGCCTTAGGGATCATGCCCAACGTCACAAGCAGTGAATTGTAGAGCCAAGTTATGAATCCAGATGAGCTGACTCCAGTCAGACCTTTGCATCCCCAGTCAATGCTCTCAGTCCTGCCTGGAAAACACACTCACCTAAAAATTCATGAGGTTTCAGGAAGCAAAGTAGGGTGTCAAGCCTTATTCTAAAAGGATAGTAAAACAAACAAACAAAACAAACAAACAAAAAATCCTGCCATGTTTATTTTACCTGACAAAGAACGCCTCCAAGCATTTATGGAAATGTGATGATCTGTCTTAGACTAGTTTTGAGAGAATTATCATCAACTTAAATGAGAGTGACTGGTAGTTCCTTGGTCCTTTTTCTTCACCATATCTCTCTTTGTTCATTATTTTCCTCTGTGTAATATTTTAGTCACTTGAGAAATTGAGGACTCTTCAGAACCCTCTTGGAAACATGGAGTGACATGTCTTTTCCTCTGAGGGTTATAGCAGCTAGTAAGACTTGTCATGAAGCAAAGTTTGACTACAAGCCAGACTCAAACATGGCTCATGTGAGAAGGCTGGAGATGAGGTAAAGAGGGCATGTGTAACAGAAAATATCCAGCTTATTTCTCAGGCTGTCCTAATGTAAGTGCCTTTTTTCTCAAACCAAACTTGGGGTTCTCCAGAAGAATTATTGTTAATTCATAAATTGCTACACGGCTCTCTGGAACTAATGGAAAATCTATTTGCTGTTAAACTGCATAGCAGAAGAGGCAAAGGAATTGTAATGAAAAATGCAAAAATAGAGGATTTCCATTCCATAGAAGCCATCACACCATGTTGTGCTGCAACAATGAGTGTGCATCGGGATAACTGTATGGTGGAGACCCAAAAGACACCAAGGCCAAGGACAGCAATTTCTGGCAAGAAATATTCTTTCCAACCACTCCCCTAGGTTAATGTTAACCACATCTACTGGGTTTATGATTACCAAATACACAGATAAGGCTGAAGGGAACCCTGAACAATATACATATAACTGTGTTGTGGGGGAGGAGGATTGGAAGAAAATATTTTCATGTTAGAGTTTGTTTTTTCTTTTTTGATGAGCAGTTTTTAATGTCAATGAAGTGTCCGTCTCCAGGAAATCTCTGCTTATAGCCCCTAAAATCAGATCATATGTGAGTCATAACTCTTACTTTTAGAAATCTGAACAATTTGATTCCCACCTGCATTTTTGGATATTGCCTTAAGGAAACATCACTCCATTTCACTCGAGTGTACCCCCAAGACAGACCAAGAATCCAGCAGAAAACAAAACCATGTACACATACACACACAGCAAAAAAAATCTATAAATTTGGCATGTAGATATATATCAGTTTATTCATTCAGCCGAACGTGTTGAACACCTGCTGTGTGTCAGTGCTGGAGGTACAGAGGGGACCATGCAAATATGTAAATAAACTATTATAAATACTAAGTAAGGGCTCTGCTTGGTTGGTAAAAGGAAGTCAAATAAGGTCATGGGCAAGAGAAGTATTAGCCAGGTTTTCCAGGTCAGCTGGTTGGAAGGGGCCCAGAGGTGGGAATGTTCTGGGCAGAGAAAGCAGCGTGTATTAGACACATGGCTTTTTTCAGGAAATGAAGGGGATTCAGGATGGCTGGAGCACAGGAAGAGTTGGGAAGTGGTAGAAGATATGAAAGAGAAAAAGGACAGCCAAATCTTGGGCACCCATTATTCTCTTTTAAAGAGTTTGAATTTCAGGAGTTTTAGGATTTATCCCACATATAAGAGACTATCTCATGGAAGGTGTAAAGAAAAATGTAAATTCAGTATGTAAATGTAAATAAAATATAAAATGTAAATGTAAATTGACTGTAAATTCTTCTCTTCCTTCAGCAACACATTCTTTGTTTTCTGTATTCTTGGCTCTTTTCTGCTCCCTCTCCTCCAAGTCCAGAATGAAGTCTTCTGCTCTACCATGACCCATTTGTATAGCTCCAAGCAGCCATCTTTTCACGCTTTTATCTGCACCACCCAGTATTCCAATACCTCAATGCCCTGTAAAATGATGAGTCAACTAGTTAACACTAGAATATTAGTGAAAAAAAATGACAACGACAACAACAAAAAACAAAACAAAACAAAAAAACATTGAACTGCAAATGAATCATGGAGAAAATCTGGACTTGACCTATAGAAAAGACAGTCTTAAACTTGAGAACTGAGTTTAAACTTTCTACCAATATAAAAGATAAGCTTTGCAAACAATGCCCGTTTTTGTTGTAATGTATTGTCTCTTTTAGTTCCATAGGAATTAGTAGAACTTACAGAATTGCATATGATTCAGTAAGTTCCACACGGCTAAGCTCACAGTTAGAAGGCATTGCCAGAAAATCTTGCCTTTAAAAAGTAACCGAGTTGTCAGAAAGTCAAGTTACTTAATTCTCTGGGAAATACAATGAAGTTATGGCAGTTTGGCTACTGAGGAAAGACTTGGTTTGCCCAGGCTTTCTGTGGTAACTTCCTCCTCCAGGGGGAGAAACTGCCAGTAAAGGAAGAATGACAATTTACTTACCATAGGCGAGGCTAATAGGCCTGTCTTAGTCACAGCCTGCGTCCTTGAGACATCCTGGGAAATCCCTATCTAGAAGAGAAGAAAAGTTAAAATCACAGATGCTGTGCTTATGACCTTATTCTGTGTAAATCACATACGGAGTCACTTCTGTTCATTTGTAATGAAAAACTATTGCTGTTATTTTCTATCATGAGTTAACTGTGTGGTCTTTTTAAAATTTTATATATTTGATCTCACTTTAAAAGATACCGCAGGAGACATTTTCTTTCTCTTTCTCTTTCTGTCTTCCAAGACTCCAGGAAAAACAGCTTCCATAGCACATTTTGTGCAGGGCACAACTAGAATGAGTGCTGCAGAAGGTTCTACGGAGCATGCAGAGGTAAGAACACATTTCTAGGGGATGAATTGACCATCTAGCATCAATTGCACTTCTCATGGTTAATTATGCAATGATGAATAAGAGTAGAAATGGCTACTTCACTTTATTTAGATAATATCTGCTATGTATTTTTGATCAATGTTATTTAACAAAGAAAAAGTGTCTGGGTGGACCATTGCATTTCCTCTGATCCCTCTGAGCTACTTTTTTTTTTTTACGAAGTGAGATTAAATCTTGTCCAAAGTCTTTACAGCTCCCCAGTTCTGTAGGCTCCGTATTTTGCTCTTGATTTAGAGAAATTTGGTTCAATGTAAAATTTAAAAAAGAATATTGGTGTAGTTGGAAATAGAACATATTATAGCAAAAGAGTAGCCATAGTAAAATATTTATGTATGTACAATTAATACCACAGTTTTTGTCGGGTTACTGGTTACTGCAACAGATACTCACTGAATGAATGAATGAATGAATGAAAGTGCTTTCTTAAAGTTCTTTTTAGAAATAACCGAGGTATAATAGCAAACTAAATGGAACTCTTTTGTTTATTTAGATATTTAATTTAGCAGTGTCAGAATTTGAATATATTAGAAGTTGGTTTTGGTGTTATGGTAAATGAGAGGGAAATACCCAGATACTTTAAGCACAGATTACACTATACAAGGAATAACTGTTTTGTAAGTGGGTCGTTAGTAGAACCAATGACTAAAAATCTTTGTTATTTATTGAGACATCAGATACCTTCCTTAGCAATTGGAAAACAGAGCAAATACAAATGGAAAATTCTCCCAAAACTTTGTGTTTGATTGACTTTTGCTTCATTTTTAATACATACCTGAGACATATGAAACATGGTAACATGTTGATTAATCTTCAGAGAAACCCCTGGCGATACATTTATGGCTTATAAGCAATTCCTATTACTGTGCTTTCTCTCTTTCTCTCTTGTAGATTTAGTATCTGCAATTCAGTAACTCTTATTTATAAAATAAAAATCAAAGTCCAAATGTTTTATAATTTCTTTCCAGAGAAAATTATATATGGCAAAAATTGCACACTATTTAATTACTCTTAATCTGGTTTCCCAGAAGACTAGGCCATACAAATGTTTCTTGCTCACAGAGTTCTTTTGTCTATATCACAAATAGAGAGGAGACTTTTTGAGGACCCCAAATCTGTGCCTCCAAGCATGGTCTGGAATAGGGGAAACTTGAACTTCAGTATGAACCACTGTAGCCTCTGAAATTTATTAAAAATAGAGATGAGATAAACAGGCTGAGCACAGAGGATTTTTAGGGCAGTGAAACTATTCTGTATGATACCATAGTCATTATGCATTTGTTCAAATTCATAGAATGTACAACACCAAGAATGAACCCTGATGTAAACTATGGATTTGGGTGATGTGTCGGTAGAGGTTCATCAATTGTAAGAAATGCACCGCTCTTGTGGGAGATGTTGATAATGCATACATAGGTATGGGGGGAAGCAGGCACATGGGAAGTCTCTGTACTTTCCACTAGATTTTGCTGTGAACCTAAAACTGCTCTAAAAAATAGTTTATTAAGAAGGAAATGGAGGTACTATGACTCCCTTTTCTGAAATTCTGTTTCAGTGTTCATGGTGCCCTATGTTTAGCAAGCTCCCACAGTGACTTTTATGTGTTCTTGTACTAAGAACCACTGGTTTGGAATCTGGTCTCACTGCACCTCTGCTTTGCTGAGCTCAGGACACCCTAAATACAGTTGGCTCACAGCATCTAATAGTCTGTTCTGATGCAGAATGAGTCTAGACTTCCTAAAAAAGGGAAAGCCCAATTATAAGACCCAACATATTGTCACCCGGGTTTTGATGTTACTTTTGGAACTCAGCCAAATCAGCTTCTTGAGGTCAGAAACAAGTAGAATAATTCTGAGTTTTTTGACCTACAGAAGAATATCTCTTTTAAAATCTGGTCTTAATTGTACATGGGTCTGAATAAGAAGAAGCTAAGAAAACTAAGGACAGCATCTATAGAGATATAAATTATCCTCTAGACCTAAAATGTTGAGTGAGACATAGATAAGTAGAGAAAAGATAGAATAGTTTTATGAATCATTTCTAATGAAAAAAGTCCTTGAAATCCCGTGATGATTGGTAAAAGAACACTTCCTATAAATGTTTTTGGCAAAAGCCAACACACTTTGAAAATATTTAATTGTTCGTGAATATCTGTAATCAATTTCCGTAACTTTTGAGCCTAAAACTGAATAGCAGACTTAGGACTATCCTCATCACCAGATTAGCTGTATTGTTTATATGACTCAGAGATGAGATGGTAACAAGACTATTGAGTTAGTATAGAGAAAACAGCACTTAAGTGAACTTTGTTGGTGGTCCATTTAGACAGATGGCCCACAGTTTCCAGAGCTGTTGTGCTTTCTTTAAATAAATACCCCCAAAGTTTTGGGGAAAAAAAAAAAGCTGAAAAGAAAGGTGGTTAACTTTTTTGCTGTGCCAGTGATTTATTATTTATCTAGACTTATAACCTACTGGCTTTATTCAAAGGGCTGGTTAAAATTACACAATACCAGATAATCTATGCCAACTTCTCTATAACAGAATTGTATGATGGACATTGAGGTAGATAAGTTATTATAGTCTTAGAATCAATTTGCTGCCTTTTAGTTATATGTATTGGTCTTTTTCTCTTGACGGTTCTATCATTCCTCTGACTTTTGCCAGGGCCACTCTTCAGATATGGACACATCTACAGAAATAATTGTTTAGAAATGTTTATTACTTAATAGAAATATCCAAAATGTATCCATAAAACCTACCTGATTTCTATAAGAATTATACTCTTAATTTCCGTTTTTGTTTTTCTGGTTTTTTTTGGAAAAGCGTTTTAATCCAAACTCATGAAATCCTAATTTCTCGCTTGCCTATTGTACAGATACATTTGTAATTTATTAGAGAATTATTTTGTTAATTATTTCATATAAAGGAATCTGAAACATAATCTAAATCTTATCCATCAACAGGATGAGGGACTATGGTGTAAGGGTTGATACTGCTAGAATAGATATGTTTATGAATCACAACAGGAGAGCTGGTCAAATGCATGGAGTTTGTGAAGGACAATATTTCGCCTGCTTATGTTATAGATTATTTTATTTCACTCTTTTTTTTTCTCTTCTTTCTTTTTTTTTTTCTTTTTTTTTAGTGTGATCAATCATCAAGCAGAAAGAACCTGACAAATTCTCTTGAACAAAAGATAAGGTGCTTGGAAAAACAGAGAAAAGAGGTAATTTAGAAATATTAGTTGAAGCAACATGTACCATGATTTAATACTAAGAATAAGATAGAATGTATATCTAGAGTCTTTTATTTTTGTTATTGGGTCACAGTATTTATCTCTAGGATATTGGACAGTATTATTTTGAGAGCGAGTGTTTTCTTACTCACATATATTTCTCTTACTCAGTCTCTTAGTTTTTGTGTAAATGAGTGAAAAATGACAGTCACAAATCAGATAATTATAATCTTAATTTTCTCAAAACTTAGATGTTCCTCCACATGGACTATGTGAGCTTATCACCTGTGCCATCATGCCTTGAAACCTGATACACCTTGAGACTCAAACTGTCACAGGCTTTTTTTTTTTAATTTTTTTTTTTAAATTTATTTGTTTGACAGAGAGAGACACAGCGAGAGAGGGAACACAAGCAGGGGGAGTGGGAGAGGGAGAAGCAGGCTTCCCGCCGAGCAGGGAGCCTGATGTGGGGCTCGATCCCAGGACGCTGGGATCATGACCCGAGCCGAAGGCAGACGCTTAACGACTGAGCCACACAGGTGCCCCCTGTCACAGGCTTTTAAGTGTAATTGACTTAGGTGTTATGACTTCATGAGCTGGTCATCCAACCACATAGGGGTTAAGGAGCATTATCATAAAAAAAAAATGTTTCTTTCTAAAATGTCATTAGGGATGTGATGGACGTTATTTTGAGTTCTGTTTTTCTCAGTTTAATGAATGTTAGAACCTCTATTCTTGACAGAAGAAGAGGTGAAAAGTGTAACAATTTTAGCACTGTGTATGTTACCAATTTTTAAATTACTTTTCTAAACCATTATACATGTTATATCCTTCATGTCTTCTCTATGGTGCCTTCTACTCCTCGTTGATACTGCATAAAATATTGTGCCTTTCTGGAAAATTACTGAACAATAGCAGAGTAATGTTACCATAGCATAGAAATGTTAATCCTTAAATGCCAACAGATCAGATATCCTTATATAGTAATATTATATAGTCTATACTAAATACCCATATCTATTTCCAGCATAAGATTTACCTAGTGACTGCCTGTCTGGATCAGATATATTGTTTTATAATTAGGAGAATATCTTGCTTCCTTTTAGTCATTGTGACTATCTTCTTGATCTCTGTCCCATATTGAAAGTGTTGGAATTTCTCTTAATGTAGGAAGTTACAGACTTCCCTTACAAGAAAACTAAAACACGGGTCATAGTGTTTTTTCTTCCTTTTATCTAGCACATAATTTTAAAGCTTTCAAATTGCAGGCTAAATTATTTCTAAATATTGTCTTATGGTAACACTATTATTCCTTGAAAATCTATGCTTTGAAAAAGGTGATATTATCCATTCACTGAGTATACATTACAAATCATGCGTTGATTTTAAAAAGCACAATACTGCAAGCTCATAGTGATCAGTTATTGTGATTTGGAATTTGTTAATATAAATTCTGCTTTTAAAAAGGTAGAAGAAATATTTCATTATATTAAACAATGTAAGCACATAGAAAAATATGGAAAGGTTTGAAAAAAGACCCTTCATATATTAATAAATCTTACAGAAAACCATCAATACTCACAAATTTTTACTGGATTTTGATTGGTTAAACAAAGATGAAAATTCAAATAACTAAGCAAAATTGAAAGTTGCTAATAAATGGTTCAGCTGACTAGTCAAGATATACCGAAGACTTAATAGCTTTTCATATATGAGACAGTTATGAAAATGGGAAAAGTGTACTCAGTTAAATCATCCCAGCCCTACCAATACTTGGCAAAAGGAATATTATCTTCACCCATGGCTTGCAAGATCTTAGTAACCCCAAAAAGTGATTTCATTTTGGCCAAATTTCCAAATGGGCAAAAATCCATATTGATTTACCAAATTTTAATAATTTCAGCTCTTGGAAGTTAACCAGCAATGGGATCAGCAATTTAGAAGTATGAAAGAGTTATATGAAAGAAAGGTAAACACCTCTCTATTTAGTATTTGCTTTAGATCAATAAGCTGGGGGACAAAGTCTGTGAAGATTCTCACTGATTTCTGCTGAAGGAGATTTGTGGCTAGCCAACTGTTGAAAAATGATGGGGGCGTGGGGAAGGTGCTGAGTGTATTATTGGCCTCTCGGTACTGAAGATTAATGAAGGATATCGGTGAATTATCTTGAGCATGGCAAAAAAAAAAAAAAGGTACTAAAAATAGCCTCTCGAGCTGTCTCTCCAGTTCTTATGCACACATTTATCATAGCTCACAGAATATCCTGGCTTTGGCTCTGTTACTAGCAGCCATGAACACACAAGGTTATATGTGAGGTGAGAAATGGTTTAAAGTTCATACTGTTTTATGCTAGGCTAGTTCTCTAATTCAATTAGATAGCATAAGCTATTTCCACAGATAAAGAAATAAACAATGGTAACAGTGAAAGCATGAGGGGAAGTGGCGCATCCCCCGCCCCACCCCCCGAAAGTATGTTCTCTGTCAAAGAATCTTTTGCTTTGGTGAGAAACTTTTTGGAGAGAATACCTTTTAATAGGTAAAAGTCAATTTATCATTTTAAACTATTCCACGTTCAAAAAGAGAGAAAAGGAGGAAGTAAATTCCCCTAAATAATTCAGAATTAAGAAACCCGACCACAAGTGAGTAACGTAGCAGTATTGCTCTTTTCTTCCCCATTTTGATAGGCAGAAGTTTTAAATTTAGTTAATGCAGGAGAATGTTCCTACTAGATCAGGCCATGGTCAGGCCACCCTGTTATATTCAGTCTGGGGCAGGCTTTGCGTCTCCAAATTTTAAAGAACATGGTCCCAGAGAAGATGTTTAAGATGCTCAGGAAGAAGGGCTCGCAGGTGTGTGAAGACCCGGGGTTAACAACGGGCATCTTTGATGAGGCACCCTTTTCTAAGGCTTCTCAGCTGGACCGGCGTCACTCTGAGGACTAATTTGGCATTTCGTAGCGGGTCAAACATTGCACATTACTGATAAGTTAAAAGCCACGTCTGTTTTTCTCTGGTGCAGACATATTCACTTACCCCCTACCCCTCGCTGCTGCCCTTTTCAGGTCAGGAAAAGACATATTTTGAAAGTTAGGAAGAATGACAGGCCCGAAAGTGCCCCCCCCCACCCCGTCTGAGGTCTAAATCTTTATCCTCTCGGAAGTGGTGTGGTTTGGAGAAAGGAGGGAAGGGGCTGAAGGCTGTTTCGGGGGTTTGCTTTTTCCCGTAGAGGAAGCCCTTTTTTTAAATGCACTTGTCCGGATCTTGGCGAAGAAGGGTGGGAAGTAGAACCCCTCTCGTTAGGGGCCCGCCCAGGAGTGGGGCGTGTCTGTCCTCGAGTGCACGGGGTGGGAATAAATCCGGGAGGGGGGAGGGGGCTGTGAATTTCAGAAGAGGCTTCCGCAACTCTCTGTGAACGACTTCCTCAGGTCGCCGAGCTGAAAACGAAACTGGACGCCGCAGAAAGATTCCTCAGCACGCAGAAGGAGCGGCAGCAGAGTCGGAGAGAGAACGACAGGCTGCGCGACCTGACCCGCGAGCGGCTGCAGCGCCAGGAGGTGGGCGGGGCTCGCGGAGCCGACCTCCCCGGCGCCGCGTCAGGGCCGTACCCCACACCTGCGAGCGCGCCCCCAGAGCCCCAGAGCAGAGCCAGTTCTCCGCGATCCGAACGGGGCACGTGGCCTGCTCGCTTCCTGCTTTGTCGACCGAATGGGCATGCGTTCGTGTGCCAGGCTCAACCGGCAGAGAGAGCTGATCCGGAGATTTGGAGCTATCTTTCTAGCGCGTTTCTAGCCTAGAAGATTACTCCTATATATTATTTTATTAGCTATATTATTTTATTACTAGTGTTAATAATAATAGGACAATACCTTGTATTTCTACAGCTGCCTTTCAGCTTACAGAGTTTTATGAAGAGGCATTGCTTTTATCATCATAAAAATAAACCGTTTTAAAAACGGCCTCACCCTCATTATCTCATTTAACAAGCTCCTCCCATCTGTGAGGAAAATATTATTTTTGCCATTTTAAGGATAAGAAAGGTGAGATGTGAAGATGTTGCATGACATGCCAACCTTGCCAACCTAGTACCTGGGAAAATGGGACTTGAACCCCCGTTTCCAGATACTGTCTCCATTAATCCCCGCTGAGAGCAAGATGGTGGTCTTGAAGGAGACAGACTTCTAAAATACTCTTGGATTTACTCTTATTTACGGGGTTTATGGATATTATAGAAAATGGGAGAAAAACCTTACGCTCTAATGGACTCTCATTTTTTTTTACGTGTGTTAAGAAAAAACAACTGTAAATATTCTCAGGTGGTCTTGTGACTGATATTGTGAGGCAATGTCTGTATTTTAACTCATGCGCCAATCCTAAGGCAATGTCTACAATCAGTGCAAACGGTCTCACTGTAGGTATTCTTATTTTGTGAAGGGTATCTGTGTCTCAGTGAGTCAGAAGAAAACAAACAAGGTTTAACAACTTCTGGTCCTGGAGCAGTCCCTTCCATTTCCATTTAGACCCTGACCAGAAATCATGGCAATTGTTCCAACAAAATATGAGCTCATTCTAAGTAAAAGTAAATAGAAATGTTCTCACTTAAAAACCAAAAACAAATCACCTAAAGTAGATATCTTAAATCTAATTATTGTATTGGGAAATATTAATCACTAAAAGAACATACTTTAACATATTTTTAGCTAATTTCTCATCTTGATTTACCTAAATTCTGTAATATTTATTTTATTAGGTTAAAATCTGAATGCCGTGAAGAGTCCAGTTCACTCCACAAAAAAATTTACTATCTAAAACACAAATTAGGAATTAGAAGACAGAGGTCTAAATCCAGAGCCCATTAGTGTCAAAGCAACTAACCTTGCTTCAGTTATTTAAAACACAGGACATCTTGAAGGTTAACTGGAACATGGAGGAGTGATGGCAGTTGGACTAATTGATCTCTGCCTTTTTTTTTTTTTTTTGATCTCTGCCTTTTAAAAGTAATAATCACAGCAATATGGTGCTCTGAAGAATTATCTGTAGTGAAGGCTCTTTTTTGCCTGAAGTTTTATTCTCTTCTCCCTCTCTTCAGTCCAGAATGATGCAGGCAGGATTGGGTTTTGAGATATTTTGTATTTTTTGTTGCAATGATACTTTTTTTTTCTTTTTAGAAGTTTAATTACTTTTACTAAGTCACTTATCTATCACTTTGTAATAGTACATGGAACTAGCTTCTTCTGTGGACCCATTTGACCCTTGAAAGTGAGGATTGGGCATTTTGAGTTTTTTCCGGCGTCATAAAACTTAGTAGCACTAAGGATTAAAGAAAGATTTTCTCTATTTGAACCCTGTCCTCCACCTAGAGAATATTGCTTAAATGGAGCATTAAAGGAAATCTAGCAGGTCCTGTTTTTGTTGCATTTCAGAAGTATTCCTACAATATTATGTCATATGAATTTTATTGATTGCGATTTTGTTTTCTTGCTCTTTACTCCAGAAGGAAAAGGAGAGCCTAAATGAAGAATTACATGAATTGAAGAAAGAAAATAAGTATTTGAAGGAAAAAAATGCTCTTGTGAACAAGAAGAAGGAACATTATGAATGTGAAATAAAACGCCTCAATAAGGTATCAGCAAGGTCAAGCTGGGGAGATGGAAGGAGAGGTCCCTGTATAAAGAGCATGTTCCTGCCTGAGAGTCACAACCAAATCTATGCTGCAGTGTTGTCCTAGTCTTGGGAGCTTGCACAGGAGCTTCTCTGTAATTTTATCAGTCACTCCTATCTGCATCTTTTAGCCATACTTGACTAGGGAGGCTTTCAGGAATTAGTGTCCCTGCAAAGAATCATCATTAAAAAGAGAAACGAGGAGAAATTTTAGAAGGCAGAAAGAACTTTTTTTTTTAGTTCGAAGAACCACATAAAGCAAGTGGGTGTTTGTGAACAATAGCATACCTCTTGGTCAACCGCAAAAGTTTCCTGAGGAAACAGGCTGCTCTTTAAAACCATCACTATGGAACTGGCTGTGATGCAGGCTGTATGGAATCATGCTAAATGCCAAACCAAAGGCTGAGATGGTGGCCTTCCAGAGAATAAGCCTAAAACTCACTTTTAATTGGGGTGTGGGGTCGGGGGGCGGGGGCGTTTGGAGAGGCAAGTCTGTTAGAAAAACACGAGTGGTTAAATGCCTTTGCTTCAACTTAGCTGTTCTGAGGGGCTCCCTATGAATTGCTGCCAAAGGATGACTAGGGAGAGTTTGTGCATTCGTGTGTGTGTGTGTGTGTGTGTGTGTGTGTGTGTGTGAGAGAGAGAGAGAGAGAGAGAGAGAGAGAGTTTTGTAGACTAATAGCTTAATTTTCCTGGGGAAGGGATTGCTGACTTGTTCAAGGAAACAAATCCTTTGCTGTTGATTTTTCAGAGAGCCACATCAGATGTGGACCATAGGAATACTTGTAGTACATGTTTGAGTCAAGATACTCATCTCTCAAGTTAGCTATTTCATTTTTTTTTAAAGATTTTATTTATTTATTTGATAGAGCACGAGCACAAGCAGGGGGAGTGGCAGGCAGAGGCAGAGGGAGAAGTAGGCTCCCTGATGAGCAGAGAGCTGGATGAGGGGCTCGATCCCAGACCCTGGGATCATAACCTGAGACGAAGGCAGACGCTTAACCGACTGAGCCACCCAGGCACCCCTCAAGTTGGATATTACTTGACCAAAGTTACAGAAATTGCCTTCTAAAACAAGAGTAGGTAATTGGCCTTGAAAAAGTGCTCAGTGCCTGTATTTTGGACTGTGCATCTTGTAGTTAACAAGTGTTCAGAGGATCATTTAAAGATCCCCAAAGTGTTAAGTTTGTGCCTGTATAATTGACAGGATGCTTTACAAATGTGCTGCTATATTTGATCTGTTTGTGAGACAAGTTACTGATCAGGAGAAAATGGGAAAGTAGAGACTAATTTCATAAACAATGTACTTCTCTGTCCTCTAAGAGAGGAAAACAATGTTCAGAGATACAGATTTAGGGCAAATAAATTTTCCCTTCTATTCTCTGTTGGAAATCCTCCACAGATGAATTAGAGGAACTAGCATTGAGATTATATTTGAAATCTTTCCCATTTGTGCTATATTATTTGATACGTTTTCTTCTGTTCTCTAACTCATTTCTGTAAATGTTGGCACAGAATATAAACCCTGTAGAAATTAGAACAGCCAAGAACTCTGTTTTTTGTTCATGTCTATGTGTACCCTTCATTTTTGTGTATCTGTATCTATAGTCAACAGAAATGTTTTAAAAATCAGTAAAAATTTTTTAACCCTTGTGATTATAATAAAATTGAGGAAATGAGAACGATTAATTTGAGTAAAATTCAGGTCTTTATACAAATGTCACCTTCTCAGAGGACTTTTCTGGCCATCCTGATATTTCCTGTTTTAATGTTTCTTTGGAATTTATTGCTATCTCATATATGTTCAGGGTCTCCTATTATTAAATGTGTTTCCTGTCTCCTGATCTTGACTGTAAGCTCCATGAGGGTAGGAATTTTGCAGAACTGACTTCTCTATTAGACTAGTAGGACTAGTAGGCACAGTATTGAGGGCTCGTGATACTTCTAATGGCCTATTAATATGTTTAATTTCCCTTAAAATCAGGACAAAAAAAATGGACCTTTAGGTTGAAAAAAAGTTTTCATATTAGTATTAATATATTGGTCTTTATAAGAATGCAGTTATAAAACACAATTTGAATACGTATTTATTTGAAGGCATGGGCTCAAAAATATAATAGTCATAGTGTGGCCTAAGTTTTTCTGTTTTTTTCACTGCTGTGTTCTGAATGCCAGCAACAGAGCCTTGCTCACAGTATGTTCTTAAATATTTATTGAATAGATGAATTAATTAAATAATTTATCTAGTACATAATATGTTCAATAGCCAATTCTGGCTCTGAGTTTCCTGCTTTAGCAGGCATAATGCATTACTTATGACTAGTGAAAAAACATGAAAATAAAAGGGCACTTCAAGCCAGAAAAGATTTTTTCTGCCACATCTGTACTTTAAGTGTCATTTAAAAAGCATAGATATAGGGGCGCCTGGGTGGCTCAGTTGGTTAAGCGACTGCCTTTGGCTCAGGTCATGATCCTGGGGTCCCGGGATCGAGTCCCGCATTGGGCTCCCTGCTCGGCAGGGAGTCTGCTTCTCCCTGTGACCCAACCCCCTCTCATGCTCTCTCTCTCTCTCATTCTCTCAAATAAATAAATAAAATTAAAAAATAAATAAATAAATAAAAAGCATAGATATAAAGTGATGAGCTATGAAAAGTTTTTTTTTCTCATTTAGTGCATGTATTAGTGTCTAAAGAAATGTAAGATATTACTATTCAATTTTGCACTGTAGACTTGACTTTTCTTTCCTTTTCTTTTCTTTTTGTACCACTGTAATAAATAGAAGTTATTCAAAATGTTGATTTGGGTAGCGGATTGTGCATATCATCCATCACAGCATGGAATTTGGGGCCCACCCTACTTGCACAAGCAGAGCGCCTGCTGACCCATTCACTCAGCAGAAATTTGTAGCATGTCAGTTTAGTAGTTAACATATGGTTTTCAGAAGTTCACACAACTATGTGTACTCAGTTGAACTTATTTGCTTTGAAGGAAATACCCAAGGGCATTGTTTTCATTGAGTTCTTAAAGAGAAGGCAGATGTTTAACCAAAGTGAGAAAAATTACCTGAGGCTAGTCAACCAGTGCCACCCATGGGCAAAATGGATTTGTCCAATATCTCACCATTGTGAGATGGGTAGATCTGTTTAGTTTGCCTGTGCTGATTGTAAATTACTATTCTAGAATAGGTTACAGGTGTTTGTTCAAGGAAGTTGGAAAACCCCAAGATGGAATAAATGTCGATTAAACTCACCTTTCGTTTATGACTCATTTGCAAAATTTCTAGAAGCCTGAATAGCATGAAAGGTAGACCAGGAAATTCAAATATAACAAGACCCACAAAAATAATCTGTTCATACGGGTAGGATAGGAAATCAGCATTTTTGATTTAAGTCTTAACTCATTTGGCTCACCCCATCCTAGATTCTCTCCATTACTACTAACACATTTTTAAAGATTATAACTAATATGATCCTTCCTAAAACTCTGTAGCTTAGCAACAAATTCTAACAAAACATAAAGTATTAAACAACATTTGTTGTTTCTTTAAATTCTTCTTGGAGGAAGAAAGAAGTTCTTGTTTCTTACAACTTCCTGAAAAATGATACTCAGAATCAGGCTAGACAGTATCCATAGCATTAAAAGACATTCTGTTAGGAAATTCTTAGCCTATCTACACATATTAAAGCAGTAACTTTGCTTTTCTTTTCCTACTTTATAACCATATGGCCCAATAATGCAGGAAAGTAAGTTACTAATAGTATCATCAAAGGCACATCATCGAAGCTACCAAAGAAATTCAGAGGAAGTGAAATCTTGGAGCTCTGAAAGTGAAACTTTTCTATTTGTATAAAGGACTCATTTGATAATGAGCAAGTAGTCATATTGTATGTGGTCTCCCAGACCACACCAGGATGAGGCGTATTGTGTCTCAAATTTTATTATGTTTTATTGAACTCATCATGAACCAAGGTCTTCAGAATAGAGGTGATGTCTTTTATATGATCTGATGAAGTATAGTAAATGTAAGAGATCATGGGCTAGTGAATAATGATGGTAATCTTGTTGGCAAATCTAAGTGTCTCTTGTTGCCTTCACCTCCTCCACCCCACAGTGAAACCACTAAGTTGTACTGGGTGTCAAGAAAGTGTCCGACTCTTGGTTTCGGCTCAGGTCATGATCTCAGGGTTATGAGATCGAGCCTTGCGTCGGGCTCCACACTGAGCATGGAGCCTGTTTGAGAGTCTCTCTCTCTTCTCTCTCTGCCCTCCCTGTCCCTCCCCATCTTGCACGCTTTTGTGCTCTCTCTCTAAAAAAAGAAAGGAAGGAAGGAAGGAAGAGAGAGAGAGAGAAAGAAAAAGAAAGAAAGAAAGAAGGAAAGAAAGAAAGAAAGAAAGAAAGAGAAAGAAAGAAAAAGAAAGGAAGCAGAGCACTCTCTGCACCCTGTAGTGAGTTAATGGATGCTTTATTAGAGAATAAATATGACTGTGGCTAGGCCAGGGCATGGTATACTGAGGAGGACAGGGCAGAAGGGCAGCAGTACAATAGATCTAAGAAATAGTGATCTGCCTGGGTTCACATTTCCGTGGGTTTCCCTCTCTCCTGTTGGGGGCAGAGCTGGATAGCACACCATCACTTACAATGTCATCTGGGACCAGCAGCATCAGCTTCTGAGGAATGCAGATTCTCAGACACTCTTCCCAGATATACTGATTCAGGATCTCTGGGGACAGTGCCCAGGGATGGGCATGTTTGCTACCTCCCCAGGTGATTCTGATGCTCTCTAAAGTTTGAGCATTATTGATAAAGTATGTGTTTGACTGAAGCAGAGAATCTGGAGGAAGGCTACAGATATGTTTTCTTTTCATGGTTGACTTGGTGGAGGGGGGGATCCCCGACATCAATATCAAAAGCCCTCCTAAATAATAATGACAGCTGAATAACATAAGCATTGTCATGGAGAAAAGACAGAGATTCCGGAAAAAAAAAAATTGTATGCTAGAAAAGGAGAAAGAAGAAAAGTTACTCAGTCAGAAAAGTAACATCAAAAATGGAGTTCTGTTTTGTGGGGGGGCATTTGAGATCATTGTAACAATTACAGAGGAATTCATAAGATGTGGTAACTTAGCTCAACCGTGTGCTTATCATATAACATAGGCTCTTCAAGATGCCTTGAAAATCGAGTGTTCTTCATTTCCTGAGGACTGTTTGGGAGAGTCTGAGATGGAGTGCAGGCATGAAGAGATGCGAACAGAAATGGAAGTTCTCAAACAGCAGGTGAGAAGTTGAAAGTGGCACAATCATGTGGAGAACACAGGGCCCATTGTTCATGCTCCTATGGACATTTTTGGAAATCTTTCTATTCAAAATGTGTCCAAAGTTCTTGCATTTATTTTCATTAGAATTATCTCATTTTAAAGCTTGTTAAGAGAATGTAGATGATCTGGCCCAACTCACACTTTATAAAAGGGGGACTTGAGTTTCAAATGGGTCCAAGGTCATACAGTTTGTCCAAGGTCATACAGTTAGAAGAAGAGCTTCCTAATTAACCTTTTGGTGAGATTTTATTAGCACTGGTCTAGAGAGTTTTGTGTGGACACAATTTATTTTGAAAACACTACCACCCCAAACCTGGGACCTTTTCAGAAAATGGTAGCAGCCAGGCTGTTATTCTGTAGCTACTGGCCTCCAGGCCTTTGAACAATGAGGGCAATAAGGGACTACTCTGCACTGATCATAATCACTGAAGAGCCCGCTCTGCTCATCTACAGCTGCATGTGGATGGCACCACCTAGCAATTTATTGATGCACAAGGCCTTCCTCCTCCCCACTCACCCAACCTCAACCCACGTCACCAAGTGGACAGAGAGTAAATGAGTAAGCTTCTGCTTACTGCCCCAGCAATAGAGGGCTGTAGGCACATAGCACTGCCTAACCAATTTGGGTCTAAATTTAGTTCAGCCAGCTGGAGCTGGCTTAGCTGAGGGGCCACCCATGCATATCACATCTCTTTTCCTGTAAGAGGTTAAATAAACTAATGAAGGTAAAGGGCTGGAACAGTTCATGGTGATGTCAATAAATATAGGATACATATAGGAATCCTATCTCTGAAGCACACATTGTCGGTAATATATTAGTGGTGGGGGAGAGGATGTGATAGAACAAAGGGCTGAGAAGTATGTCCCCGGAACTGATTTGTTGGCTGTTTTGCTCTGAGCAAGTCCAACTCCAAGGATTCTTGATGCAATACGCCAAAGAATTAAGCAAATGTATTCTTGTAGTTGTTGTTTATTGTTATTACTTCCTAGGAAGTAGCCTATCTGTAAATCTAGAAAATTCAGAGCATTTGGTGGTAAAGTTGCATTTTCTCTTCTATCAACCCCCTTTTGAATAATCTGCCTCATTACATTCAGGATCAAATACATAGTTTAAAAATAAACCTATGAAGAGAATAAGGGTAGTATTCGGAGTGTTAAAGTTCTGCCAAATTCTCAACCCCTAAAGTACCATTGCCACTAGCCAGGATTCCTCTGAAAAAAACCACTTCTTATGTTCAGACACTTGAGTCATCTTTGATGCTCCCATATAATGTATCCCACATGCAAGAGAGTCACTCTTACACATGCACAGAGTTTACAGCGATGGTTTAGCTCGTATTGGATGCAGACAATGACAGGTGTCCTTATTTTCATTATCCCCAAGAGGTCCAGAATCCATCTCCTTAGTTTTTGCGTGACTCTTTTGCTAACTTTATGAGCACACATTTTCACTGTGCACGTTTTTATTTATTTATTTATTTATTTATTTATTTATTTTTAAAGATTTTATTCATCAATTTGACAGAGAGAGACACAGCGAGAGAGGGGACACAAGCAGGGGGAGTGGGAGAGGGAGAATCTGGCTTCCCGCTGAGCAGGGAGCTCGCTGCGGGGCTCGATCCCAGGACCCTGGGATCATGACCTGAACCAAAGGCAGGCAGACGCTTAACAACTGAGCCACCCGGGCGCCCTTCACTGTGCACATTTTTAATTGGACACCCACCATCACTGTATCACCGAGTGTCATGTGATACACTAAAGGATTTCAATTCACAAAGAAACTGAGCTAGAATCTTGGCCACCTGACTGCAGTGATGACGTTACAATCAGTGTTGTGTTTGATAAAGAGTGTTCAGTTCGGATCCGATGAGCTTCTCCCATTTCAAATGCCTCTGGTAATTGTTTACAGAGCATTAGTGTGACTATGTCTGGAATTGAGCCTCAGATCTTAACCCATACCAAACCCAAAACAAAATGTCAGCTCAGCTGGGTGTAGTTCCCTTGCAATACTTCTGGTGAATAAAACCCTAAAAATTAAATGTGTATATCTGTATCTAGAGCTGTATAACACGTTTAATTTCATCCTCTCTTGCCTATTATATTTTGTTTTATTATTATTGACTTTAATAAGCCTCTAGTTAAAAATGTGTTGCATTATTTGTGGTGAAGGTGCAGAGTGCATTAGTATTAATAGACAAAAATCTGGCTACTAGGTTCCCATGGAAGTTGTAATTTAACTCATTGTCTTAAAGGAATTCCTTTGCCTTATTCCCTAAGCTTCATTTATTTTCATAGTTCCACATTACTAGCCTCCAAGCCATCAGTCAACCCTATGCTGGTTAAAAACAATAATGATTAAATCTGTTTTTCTTTTGGTTTGATTGCTTTTCTGGAATATGTGGAGTATTTCTTTTTTTTTTAATTTTTTATTGTTATGTTAATCACCATACATTACATCATTAGTTTTGGATGTAGTGTTCCATGACTCATTGTTTGTGCATAACACCCAGTGCTTATGTGGAGTATTTCTTAAGAGGTGTTCCACTAAAATATTACTACTTTTTAAAAAATGATGTACCCTCAAAATTCCTGGGGCCAGTTGTGAATACCTTTTAACAATCTTACTTCGCTCTTCCACATACATGAGTCTTTCATTTCTATTTTGTGTTCAGTTTACTATTTATATTTGGAAACTGGCATGCCAATATTTAGTGGCTTCACTTAACAGCTATTGTCAGTAAACTGTCTTTTAGAACTTCAAGCACTATTCGTACATCAAAGCCTTGTGTTGGAGATGGATGGCTTGCTCCAAAATAGTGATACTTAACACTCAGCAAGGGGGGGAGGGGGATGCTCATCATGATAAGGAAATATGCAGGAGAATAATGGGTGAGGGGAACTTTTTTTCCCAAATATCCATGTTGTTACTTTACTTCTGAATTCCTGACACATACTCAAGGAGGAAAAAGTTGAGAACTGCCATTGTAAACAAAGCAAGAGATACAATTATGGCCAGATCCAAATAGGATAGAGTCTCACCATGAAGAAATAGTCATGAAAAGAAGATAGGAATTACTCAGATTGGACAAGCCCAGATAGCACCTTTTCTGAAATCGTTTTAATGGCTTAGAGAAAAGGATGCTAACAATAACAGCAAGTTAATATTTCCTAGGTGCAAATATATGAAGAAGACTTCAAAAAGGAGCGATCAGACCGAGAAAGACTTAATCAAGAGAAAGAGGAGCTACAGCAAATTAATCAAACTTCTCAATCCCAGTTGAACAGGCTGAATTCTCAGGTATAAGTCAAAACAAAATAATCTTTGCCAGCACATATGTGTTTTTTTATTTTTCATTAAAAAAAATTCAAGACTTTGGCTTCTGTTAATTGACATTGATTTTCTTTGAGAGGTAAACCCCTGGGATGAAATCATTCTTAAACAATCTTGTAAAGAGATGAAAATGACTGGAGATTTCTTTTAACTTAAGTCTATTAAGGAGTTACCTAAGAAATTGGATTCCAAAGTCTTTTATAAAATCCAATTCTTTTGATCTTTTTCTCATAATATTTATCTTGGTAGAAAGGGAGTTGAACTACCTCGTACTCAAAATTCAAATCCAAAACACTCCAGCATAGTGAGGTTGTTTCTAAACTCTTGTCATTTTCTTTGAAGGGCTATGTTGGAATGTTCCTGTCTTCCAAAAACATACATATTTCTAAATGTCATTTATATATATAAAATACAGTGAAACCGAGAATTTTGTTCATTGGGTTCCCCTATTAAATGTAACTGGAGCACTGTCAAGGAAGCCACATAATGTTAGTTTATTGGAATAGAATATATTAAATGTAAGCATATTACAATTAAATGTAATAGGATATATTAGAAGTAGACTCAGAAAGTGGCATGATGGGTAAATATTGATGTTAATGAGGAAAATATAGCTAACACAACTTTGGCTTAAGAAAAGAAAATGAACCACAGAATTTTTGATTTGGAAAACCATCCAGTGCTTTTCAGTAAATGGGAAATTGTTGCAGGACATGCTGTGACAGCTCTGGAGCTGCAGGATTCTTAGTCTCAAAAGAAATGTTTAACTATTTGTCATCCTCTTCTTCCTAATACAAAGTATACGGTGAATTAAACTTAATTTCTTTTCTGACATTTTGTCAAGGATTCACTTGAAATTCCTAATTTTACATGCAAAAATTATTTGGCAGAACCATTTTCTAAGAAATTAAAAGGGATAAAACAGTGGCAAAAGTATAATAAAAATGCTTTTCTGAAAATAATTCATGCACCTTACTTTATACAAACAAGGGGTGAGAAAATGTTCTCATGACTCTCAGTGAGGAAATCACTCTCAATTTGTATGTCTTACATGCAGAGCTCCCTTAATTTCTTCTAAGTTGTCACTGCACTAATTATTTTACTTTCAGCCATATTTTAATTTGCTCATTCTTCTATATTAAGTTCAGATTGATGATAAATTCGTGTCTAAGATTGGCAATGTTCTTGCCATTGTAGACTTTCTAGTGCCTCCAGGAACACATAACAATCTGAATATATTAGAGACTATAATCCACAAGTAATTCTCATTTCTCTATCTATAAACTAATTTTTGATTGATATCAACAAAACAATGCATTGTCTATGTAGAGTATGGTATAATTGTATTAATGAACTAAGGGATAATCTTGGTGATGCCTTAAAACTACCAAAATTTTGTTTTAAATAATGATAGTTCAAGCATTTATTTTTCATTTTTTTAAAGATTTATTTATTTGAGAGAGAGAGCCCCAGAGCGCACACGAGTGGGGGGAGGGGCAGAAGTAGAGGAAGAGGGAGAGAATCTCAAGCAGACTACCTGCTGGATGCTGAGCCTGACACAGGGCTCAATCCCATGACCCTGAGATCATGACCTGAGCCGAAATCAAGAGTCAGACACTTAACCAATGAACCGGGTGCCCCCAAACATTTATTTTTCAAAAGTCTCATTCGAGGTGGTCAAAAGATGATAGAATTCACAAAGAGACATAGTAGATGGCTTAACAACCCATGTTTAATGTATTAACGGCAGGTTGAATGCCATGATGTAATAGAATGGACATGATGTTATTTGAGTAGCATATTATCTGTGGTCCCAGAAAAGGAATTCTTAGGTCAAATTATTCTGGCACTAGTTTCTTACATACCAGAATTTATTCATTCTATCACTAAGGATGTTTTAAGCCAATGACCAGTAAAATAGGAGTGTGGTAAAGAGCAAGATACTTCGAGATTCTTGGGAATAGGAGTAGGGTAAAAGCTTCATGTCTGTGCCTGCTTTGACAATCAGGGATGACACTGAGCAAGTTCTCCAACTTTTCTGTGCTTCCTTTCCTTTATCTCTAAAATGACAAAGCTGAACCAGATGGTCTCTAAAATATTTCTTATAATTCTAAAACCTCTGTCTCTAAAAATAAGTTACTAAATCTCTCAGTATACTCACCTGTGAAATATGGATGATGGTTTCCACCTCATGACTTCACAAAGTTGTTCTCAGGGTGAAATGAAAAAAATCTACACAAAAACATCTAGCTCAGGTCATGCCTCATAGGTATTTCACAAATGATTTTAGTTCGTTGGAAGGAGGAGTTTTTAAATAGGGTCAGTTAGTTGTATAATTAATATTCCACATATGGTTTCTTATAATTTAATTTTGATGCTTGCTTTCTGCAAGGCATTTGTTATATACTATAAGGAACTAAAAGAATGATCCTTGCTATTAAATACTTGCAGTATAGTAAGGGGGACATATATAGTCTATCCTTATCATTTTTGGATTCCATATTTGTGAATTTGCCTGCTTACTGAAATGTGTTTGTCACTCCAAAAATCAATACTGGTGCCAACTAAATCCATCTGTGAATATGTACAGAGCAGAAAAAAACTTGAGTCACCTTACACACTTGTTCCCAGTTGAGGTCCAACAAGGCCTTGCCTCCTCGTTTCAGCTCTCAGAGTGTAACAAATGTCCTTTTCGTGGTTTATTTCATGCCACATTTTCTCATTTTTGTCCTTTTTGTTGGTTATTGCATTGCTTAAAATGGCCCCCAAACAGAGTGCTGAGGTGCTACTCGTGGTAGGAAGGCCATGCTCGCCTTACGGAGAAAAGGTGTGTTAGATAAGCTTCATTCAGGGATTAACATAGTGCCATAGGCCAAGAGTCCCATGTTAATGGGCCAACAATCTATATTCAACAAGATGCCTTTAATAGAAACACACATAAAACAGGATTCTATATTGATCAGTCAACAAAAATGGTCTGACCAGAGGCTCATGGGAACCTAACCCTGCATTTCCCAAGGAGCAGTGGTTCCGTTCTCACTACTTCAGTGTTCATGGTGACTTTACAGAACGTAACTCCTGCGGATAATGAAAACTGATTGTACACAGTACACATTGGACTACAAAAAGTCGCAGGGAAAATGTATAATGCTCAATGGGAGGACAAAGGAAGGAGCAAGGCGGGACTTGGAACGGGATCATTCGGTGGGGATATATGCCCTACAGGGATGAGGGACGGGGCGTGTGGGGATGACAATAGCATGACTAATGAGTCAAAGCAAAAACAGCCTTCTCTAGTTGTGTCAGATGTTGAAGGACTTCACGGTGGGTGACTCTGCCAGATGAGACTGGGCCTTACATACGGAGAAGCCATAAAGTACAGCAGTGTGACTTTGAACAAGTTCCTTAGTATCTCACGTCTCAGTGTCCTCGTCAGTAAAATAGAGATAATAACATTGAAGTATCACATAGAGGCATTGGGAGGAGTCGGTGAGTTATTATATGTAAAGCTGTAGATCAGTGTCCGGCACGGATTAAGTGCATGTACAACTTCTAGCATTCACGGTGACGGCTCTTGAATGTTCAGCTGACCAATTACAATCTGTTCAATAAGCAGTGGAAGCTGTTTTTGTGTATCTATCTATTCCCATGTCTCTACATTTATATCTGTGTCTCAGGATATCAACCTAAAACTGAGAATTACAGTCATTTCCACAAATTGGAATAACGGTTTAGAATGATTCTACATTCCACACTTCACTTGGGCGTTTCGAGATAGAACCAACGCCGGTCTGGAAAATCCAAAACATGACAGTTTTCAGTGACATGACTGCTATATCAGAGCTTCACCCCTGGGGCTCCTGAGCAGGTCACTGACAGCTGGGTCAAGAGTAACTTTAGAACGAAATATGTGAACTCTTTCGATAAACAAATGCCTTTGTTTTTTTGTCCATAGATAAAAGCTTGTCAGCTGGAGAAAGAAAAACTCGAAAAGCAATTAAAACAGGTACGTTGCTCCTTACCTAAATTCACCAATCTTCTGGTCGTAGTTGAAGTGGCAACTTTAGGTTCCGCCCCCACATTTATTCCTGAACACAGCAGTTCCTCATGGTTCCAATTAAAGGTGTATTCAAGCTCTGCTACGGATGTTCCAGAACAACCCAGGCTTTGCATAATGGACTAAAATGCCAGTGGATAGATAATGCTTAGGTACCACCAAGGCCTGTCAGCCCTAACACTCATGAAAAACACATGCTTTCCAGAACATGTTACCAGTAGCACATGCCTTAGTGTGTGCTCACGCAGATAGAGATTTCTTCATTGACCCATGAATGCCTGGGAAGTGTATTTCCTTGGTATTTCTTGCAGTTGCTTACACAATTTACAGTGGAAAATTACATCAAAGGTTTGTGCCTCTTTTGAGAAAATACAGTATCTTCTTGGGCACTGAAGTGTTCTGTCCCATTGGTTCTGTAGTAGGCTTCAGGAATTAATATTATTTCTCTTGATTCTTAAATTACTCTCTGGACTTTAGTTATACTATAAGAGTCTTGTTAAAACTTGCTTTATGGCTTAATGGCTGGTTCTTCTTAAACGAAGACCCTCTGTGAAGATAACTCAGAAACATAAAGTTAACTCTATACCTTTTAAGTGTTTCTGATGTCTCCAACATGGAAGGCTAATTAGAGTTTCACCTTAAGTGAAATCTCCCCTGTGAGCCTCATCTCTATCAGTCCAGAGCCTACATCTGTGCACCCACTATGTCGAGTCGGGATTATGCGAGAGTTTGACTGAACCTTAAGATTTCAGCCAAACCTGTGGTTGTGTAAAGCAAGTGTCAATGTGACTCCCCAGTTTCACCCACTTCCTATGAACCGACAACATTGTCCTCCTCAGATGTTGTTCCCGATGTGTAACTGTGTCTCGAATTCCCACCTGCGGAATCTACATGCACCAGAAGGCCCAGGGGCTGCACAGGATCGACAGAAGCTCCCAGTAAGTAAGAACTTGCATCTCAACACAGAAGTGCTTATATTACCTAATAAGTCCTAGTATTTTTTTTTTCTTTTTGGTAGAAATGCTGTCTGTCTCTGTAATTTGGGCGCATACTGTTGTCCACAGAAAGAGCCTCTTTTTATCTCAGCCTTTAATTTAGAGAGTTACAGTGGTCACTGTACACTATGATTATCTTTTTGGCACACGGCATCCACAGGACACACATAGCTATGAATAAATTCACTGAACGGTATCAAATTGAGCTGTAATTCTTGAACAAACATACCACATTTTATAAGGGCCATTTGAAATGACATACCTGACTCTTCCAAAAGGGCACTTTTGTGCGTTAAGAGAAGCAAAGTGAATACAGCAAGTCTGAGAGATGCCTTTTTCAGTTGTAAACTTATACTGAACTACTGTGGATATGGCTACATCTGTGCAATATAGTCTTTGACGTTTTCCAATGAAAAGGATATTCTTAAAGGATCCAAGAAAAAGTGACCCACTTAAGTTGCTCTCTGTGGTGTGTCTAGCCAGGCAAAATGCAATGAACAGTGGAGCAATTATTCGTGAGTGGAATTGATTTGGACAGTCAGCCTGAATAAGCCAGAACCAAAGCATCCTTCCTTCGCTTCTCCATAGTGCTCTTCCTCCCACCCTCCCCCACGGTCTGGATGCTGGTCTCTACTTTGTGTTTTGGCTACACAGACAGCATCTTTACACAGGAAAAACATTATGCATTTTTCTGCATTTCGGAAGTGCTCAGACAGCTCCCCTCCCCCTTAGTTTGTATTGTGTTTTTAATTATGCAAAGAATCTTGAGATTTTAACCGGCATTTTCCTAGCAGAGCATTTACGGAGAGCATGACTCTCTTGGTTGCCATACTTTTGTATCTGAGTGTGACTCAAAGCCCTTTCCCCAAGGGAGGAGGTAACGACTCTTTGGGTGGCAGAGACCTGTCAGAATTTAATGAGCATCCCTTCTCTGACCCCGGTGTGACACAGCACACTGCTGTGAATTGGTTTCTTTTTGTGTTGTTGCCCGTTGTCACTTCTGTCTGCTCACCCGCCCCATTTCCTTTTTTTCTTTACCTGTTTGCTTGCTTTTCAGTCTTTACAAGAAACATTTCTGGGACTCCCCAAACACAGCTATCATTCCTTAAATTTTTTTTCTTTCAGAATGTAGGAGTAAATTAATGTTGTGGGAAACATAAAGAGATAGAAGTTTACTTTGGAGTTAGCTCCTACAGGTTGGGGAATTGGAGAAATAGTCTTGTGACAGGTTAACGATAAAGCCAATGAGTCATGCAAGTTTATCTAGAAGTAAAAATGACTATTTTCTTCAAATACTCATTTACGGAAAGAAAGCAGAAATTCACCTACTATAAAAACTCATGAAACTCTCCCGATCAATTATAAGAGGTAAGGTGGTCCAGACTGTGTAAAATTGTCACCCAAATAAAGGATTTGAAAAAAGATTCCAAGCCGTGTATAATGTCTTACATTTTCAAGCAGTATTCAGTTAAACAGAATCTTGGTATAACAGTAGAATTTCACTCCTGGAATTCATTTAAAAAGAATATTTTGTGTTTTATGCTTATTTCTAAGCCTGAATTAAAGCCCAAGCAATCGTGTTTGTAAAATTACAGTATATTCGCCTTCTTTTGGCAACTGTCCTGGAATCTAAAACTGAGGCTCACGTCACTTATCCTACGTGTTATTTGAGACATCTAAAAATAAACGAGGAGATAAAAAACAGAGGTGATCTCATTTCCTCTTTTAGCTTTTTCATGGACCAAAAGGAGCCAAGAGCCTAGGTGTCTGAGTGGGGGTAAAGTGGGGTCAGACTGTACTAAATGCAGCGTTTCTTAGTGTCTTGTCTGATAATTGAACTTTAAGGCTACTTTCAGTGTTCTGGCAGCCCTGTAAATATTCCCTGCTGGCTCATTGGTAGAGACATTTTCCCGGAGTTATTTTCAGGAGGTAATTGATTAACAGAACAAAAGGTCTGTATTCTCTGTGTCTGGGCGGGGGCGGGGCGGGGGGGGGGAGTAGGAGGCAGGGGTGAGCACTAGGAGCAGGAAGACAGACCATCCTCATGGGCAGGTGAAGCTGGGTAGCTCTGCTCCAAGTGGTTAACTACAGAGGTACTCGTCTTGGAACTGTATCTTGAACTTCAGGTCTGTAGCTTATGATTTATCCAAAGCAGTTTGTTTGACATGTTCCCCGATATTCAGTATCTAGGGGTTCTTAACTGGTGAAGCCTACAAGACAATCCCACGAGAAAAATCCTAGTCTGCCCTCACCTCTGACTGCTTCTCTAGTCTAAACTCTCTGAACAATCTAGAGAGTAGTTTCCACGGAGGAACAGCACTAAGGGAAAGATCCACCCTGCTTCACCATCCTGAGCTTCTAGAAGCCATGTCCACACCAAAAGGCTTAGATTTCTTCCTTGTACCCCAAAACATTAAACTTGTCATTGTGTTCTTGGTCTCTCTGTTGCCTTCTGTGTGAGGGCTTTAAATATAGTTATTTATTGATAGTAAGCTGCTCTGTTTTATTTATGGGCTGTAGTAAGTTTTACAGAAGTGTTTATACTTCTGCAGATATCCAAAACACATCTGCTTTAAAAAAAAAAAAAAAATGCCACAACCCCGAAGTAGGAGAAACTCTGGCCAACACAGAGTGGATTTAGAGGGGGGCGGGTTGGGAGATGGGGATAGTGATGAGGGAGGGAAGAGAGATGAGCAAGATTGGCAACAGGTTTGGACAGAAAGGATTTTTGTGCTGCCTGCGTAACAAAAGCCACATAGTGTAATTACATTTTTAATACGCCACTATGTTTTGTTTGAAGTCCATGTTGCTATAATAATGTTGTATTGTTCCACACAGCCAGACTATCAGTGGTATGCTTCTGACCAGTTTCCGCCAGATGTGCAGCACAAGGCGAATGGTAAGACCACAGCTGTATTGAGCATTCTTTCATGTTTACATTTTAATGGGGTCTTCTTGGGATGTTTACTCAACATACATTCATTCGTACTCAGGGAGGGCCTTCTAAAAAGTTGTGTTGCATACACAACTCTAATTTGATGCACCTGGGGTTAACTTGAACTCCTTAAGAAACAGAAAATGTTCGAATGCAGAAATGCAGGAATCTCAGTTCTGGCTCCTGCTCCCATTCCAGGCTCAGAGTCAGTATTCCATCTGGGGCTAGAAATGAAAACTTCAAGTGGAGCTATACTGTAACAACAGCAAAGCTCTGGGATTCCACTACAAAGGGCAGATGCACATCCACTGTTCCAGGTTGAGTTTGCTAGACAGATGTTTTAAATGTCACTGGCAGACAGAGGAAACCAAAGGCTCAGAACTGTGTTCCCTAATGACTAAATGTCAGACTCCAAGTTTAGGCCAAGGTAGCCCACAACACCCACCTCCTAAGTATGCTGGAAAAAAACACTAAAAAGTCACCTATCAAGTACTCACAATTGAGTACTCTTTTATCGTATTTTTCTTTGGTTGACCATTCTCCTCTTCTTTCCAGCATCTGCCACACTTTCTACTCCTTGTTTCTGTGGTCTCATGAGACCACTCAGGAATGGGCTGTATAAACTGGGCTATAACCATAATCCCATCTTTATTCTCATCACATATAATCAAAAGCCAGCCATGCCTGCTACATGTTTAAAAAATCTCATATGACACACACCTGTGACTCTATGTTGTTAATTTCCAGAGATTTTAATTTATCTAGAAAAGCTGATGATGAGCCATGTTCCAATTTCAGGCCATACTTGAAACTTGATCTCATTTAGTTCTGATCTGAGATCATAGAATTCTATTTTTTACCAAAAGGAGGCCATTACCGAGTAGAAATCGAAAGCCAGGGATAACACATGTAGTTTTGCAGGGCGTGTACTTCACAAGTCCAAGTTCTTCATGGTTATCTTTGTAAGTGGAACCTCCTAGCATTGCACAATACACAACCTGGACAGCCGTACACAGCAGCACTAAGAGTGGTGAGGGCCATAGCTTACAGTAGCATTATAGAGAAGAAAGATAAAGAGTGAGAACTCTATAAAAAAATGTCTAGGTATTTATCAGAAAACCGTAGGACTCTTTTTTCCTTTTCTTTCCACTATGAATATAACCATTGGTTTTAATGAAGTTCTTGGGTTCCAGCCATAGTAGAGAGCTTTTATTAGAAAGGCATACTATTAACCATAATGATTGTTGCATAATGTCTGTTTTTGAAATCTATTGTTGTATAATAGCTGAGCTGCCACCCAATTATAATTTTCCACTTCGTATTATATTGGTCTGGAATGAATATTAAAGATATTTTCTCCCTGAATTGGAGTTTAACCACTAGAAAATACAATTATGCAGGAGAGAATTCAGTAATATCATAGAGCCATTAATGTATCACTAATAGATTCTTCTTGGACCAGTGTAATAGAAGCTAATAATCATATAAGGTAGAAGTGAATTGTGATGATCTTTGGAAACTAAATTACATATGCAAAAATAGAATATTATAGTCAGTATGTAAGACCTAGTGATTTTTGTCTGCTTGGGAAGAAACATAATGAAGTTTGCAGTGTGTAAACATGCTAAGAATCTACAGATGTAAAATTACAATGAAAAATAAACCTCTATTATGTAGCAACCTCAGTATTTTTAAGACGTTTTAATCTTCACAACAACGCTATAAAATAGGTTTTATTATATTATACCATTTTATGGACGGGGAAACTGAGGCTTGGAGAATTTAAGTAGCATGCCTGAATAACACAGTTGGTAAAATTTAATCCTGGGATTGGATTCCAGATGTATAGGACTTCAAAACCTGTGCTTTGAATCACATCCGATAGTGCCCTCGAAAACCTACCTCTCTCACTCTATTAGAATTTTCTACGATGACAGATATAAAATGAGAATGGGGGATTTAACTTGGATAATTATATGACTTAAACCTATCCCTCAATAATCTTTTCTTCCTGTGAAGCCATAACACGTTATTTGTGCTACTCATTTGGTATTTTGAGTATCACAGGTAAAAGACAAAGTACTATGTAAGATTAAGTATGTAATAAATACATTATGAACGAATTCATGCTCGGTCAGCCCTAGTAGAAACCAATGGGATATGTTGCCATTTGAACCCTTTCCTTCTCTGCAGCTCACTGCGGCTTGTCTGCGAGGAGGGCTGGTCATGGCTAGGGGACCACTGGAGAGAGAAATGCCTTATTCAGAAATCTGCCTGTTTTTGATTTCTATTTCTCCTCTTCTAGCTTCCAAAGCTGATGCTATCTCAAGGTTCAAGCCAGTTCATAAAAATTGGCAAAAGCTCTGAGATCACCCTTGTCAAACAAAATCTCTCATGTGCCATTATTTAATTTCAGTGGTGATTCTTCTTATTTTTTATGTCATTTAATTGGAAAGCTCCTTTTGATTTGTAGGTCCAATGCAGTTGCTCAGAATCCTTAAAAGTAACTTTGTGGTATTGTTAAATAGGAGTTTAGAAATCTTTTTACTATACAGACATTTTTGTTATGATATTACTCATTGACTCATTATTTGGCTAATATGTTTATCTTTCACTATTCAGGAATATACTGCTAGTCAGCATACCCTGTGTTTTGGGCTATAAATACCCAAACTCAAACAATGGAAGAAAAAATGAGTGGAAAAATTAGGCTCAGTGTTTGGTAAATTATGAACAGAAAGTATTTTTAAAACTCATAAATTTTACTCATATAATAAGTACTGAAGTATTTGACTTGTATTTCGGTGAAAATGACCCTTTCAGAAATATAGATAATTAAATGAATATTAATCTGTATGTGTGCTTTATACATTGTCCTAATTCTCAGTTTTTATTACTTTCCTATGACTCCCGACAAATTTTACTTTTCTGATCCCAATATATATAGCACATTATAGTTTGATCCTAGTATCCATCCTTATAATTCCTCTCATGGTAATCTAACCCGAAATAGTGGCTCTGACATCTATACGTGAAGTGTTTGCAGGGCAGTAGCCTTATGATTTTTAAAATGTACACTGGGTAATGAGTGGTTAAATTGCTGTGATCACTAGATCCTCCTTTAACATTCCCTGAGGCAAGAATACGTGGAGAGCTGCGTACTTCAGGTTCAATATTTAAACATCATGAATCAAGCATAGAAGCTATTATAGTCTATTCCCCTATTGATAAACATAGCTTGAAGGGCAGAGTGACATTTAAAATGCTCACATTCCAAACAGTTCTGTTCCAGGACACAATGGCACAGGAAGACGTGAGCCATGGTCCATCCCCTTCTCTTCCCACCTTTCTCCTGGGAGGAATCTTGAGTGTGAATTTGAGTACAGCCCAGTTGGCACATCCCAACTTCATCCATATACCCCTCACTATGCTACAAACAGCACCCCTTGGCTTTAGGCCTGGGAAAGAGGACCACATGAGGCCAAGAAGCAGAAACACGGTCACTTGGGCAGGGATTTTGGGGTCTGCACGTGGGTACCAAGAGCTTGTTCTAGAATCAGGCAGACTCACACTGGGGAAGAAGGTGGTTGGAAGAGGGCCAGAGCAGGGTCCTCTAAAAGTGCGGACCTAATGAAGGGCTTCCTGACCAAAGACTAAAGTCAATAGGTACTGAGTACTATTGAACAGTCTTTGGGTCAACTAATTTCCAGTTTTGCTCTGTTATTGTCTCTGGTTAGTTTAGAATGCTTTGCGGACATGTTGGAGATTAACTCTTCTTTCAAAAATTAAAGATTTAAATAAAGGTTTTCAAGACATTTAAGACTTACTTGGCTTTCTCTCTGCACAGCACTAAATAATCACATTTTTATATATCGAAGTCCACAGATGTTAAGGGGTTACAGTTTCTGTTTAGAAGCGTGATTTTATGAAGAACATTTTAATCTTGTTTCATCTGTTATCAGAATAGGATGCAAAATGAATTCCATGTTTCTAGAACAATTATGGCATAGTTGAGTTAGTATAACCTTGAAAACATGTTGTTTTGTTTCTTCCTTTGTGAAATGTCAAAAGGCTTGTTTTCTAACTACATTGCATGCCAGTCTCTTCTGTACCTTCCAAATTTTTCATATGGTGCAGAGTTGAACTTCATCTAATGAGCTAGAGCTCAATTCTTACACGTTTGAAAGGACATGAAATGTAGGCATGTGAGATTGTGTCGCGAGCAAACATAATTATTTCTTTACAATATGGAAGATCAAAGCCTAACTATTATAATTGGCCTTTACTAATGTCTAGTAATAACTAATTAACCGAATACGGACTGAATTCACTTCCTAGGGCTACCATAACAAAGCACCAAAAACTAGATGGCTTAAAACAGCAGAAATTTATCCTCTCACACTCTGGAGGCTAGAATTCTGAAATCCAGGTGTGGGCAGGTCATGCTCCCTCCAGAGCCTCTAGAGAAGTCTCCTTCCTTGCCTCTTCCTGCTTCTAGTAGCCCCAGATACTCCTTGGCTTGTGGCAGCATAACTCCAATCTCTGCCTCACTCTTCACTTGGCCATCTTTCCTGTTTTCTGTGTCTGTGTCCAAATTTTCATCTTCTTATAAGGACTCCAGTCATATTGGATGAGGCTAATCTAGTATAATCTCATATTAACCTGATTATGTGTGCAAAGTCCAATTTCCAAATAAGGTCACATCCACAGGTACCAGGGGTTAAGACATACACATATCTTTTGGGGGGGACACAATTCAACCCATAATACTAATCATGTGCCAGAAACTACTTTAGGCACTGTATCTATTTGTATATTATCTCATCAAAACCTTATAGCAACTCTATGAAGTGAGTACTACTGTTGTTCTTGTTTTAAAATTGTGGAAGCCAAGGAACAGAGAGATAATGTCACTTGTCTAAGTCCACATAGCTGGTTATTGGCTAGGACATAGACAAGCTGGGCAGTCGACCTCCAAAGCCCACACTGTAACCACCGAGCAATATGGACAACCCCAGGCTACATATTAAAATATAATAGTGTCATCATTTGGAGGTATTTTATTTAAATAAATTCTAATGGCCCTATCCTGAAAGCCAGAACCTTTATTTCTCAGTTTGTGTCTTTTTATAACTGTCTTTATAACTGAATATTACAGATCATTTTAGTTCGGTAAAATGGCTGGCTTAGTTAGATTTTTTTTCAGTAGTATGAAGGGATGTAGGAGTCAGTATAAATAGTAGAAGTTACCTAAGAGGTGTAAGAAACAGAAGAAACTTAGAGACTGTACTTGTGTGATTTTCAATACAGATGGATAAAATATTAAGAATATTTTTCTTTTATAAGATACATTACTTACCAGCAGTTAATAAAAATATTAATAAAAATTTAGAGACAGATAGTTTTATGTCTGTTTCTGGATTTGTAGAGAAGAATTGCAGGAGGAATGCATCCTCACCTTACAATGCTGTAAAGGCCGGCTTATTGGTAAACTAAGTGATTTTGCTAAGGGAATATTAAATAAAGTGTCAATGTATATTTATATATACAGGAACATATGAAAATACAGGTGGTAAATATATTCCTGTGCAGACACTGATTTATAAGCAAAGACTAAACATTCTGATTAACGTTCTATATAGATAGATATAGGTAGGGAGGTGGATGGATAGAGACTGGATGAGAAAAATGCACACAATAAGGCTAGGCTAGTCACAGTTCCACTAGGTGAATACAACTGCACTATTTCTCTTAAATGGAAAGTAAAAATCTGTTGGGAAACGAGGTTTCTATTGGATATTGCATCCCAACTGGGAAGAACGTTTACTTATGTATGTTTCCTTACTGTTGATGCATAAGCATGCACATTCTGAGGTGAGTGCGCATATAGAGAGCAGAGTCCCCTTGGAACCTGTCTGCTGCACTGGTGCACGCTCCTCTCACAGAGGACTCTAGATTCGGCCGATCCCTGATGTAGAGGCAGACATGGACTCTGCCACCCTCTGGGTCCTATTCAGATCACTTCCGCGTCATGGTACTTAACGTGCACTCTTGTGAACATAAAAGGATAGAGTGCAACGCATACCATTAATAAATAATAAGGCACACAATTAGTGAATGGAATTCTTTACCAACCAATAAGGCAAAGCGGATTGTGTCTAGCACTGTGAGAACCCACGATTCCCTGGTGGCGTTTCTCTTATCCTGCCATTCAAACCATGGAGCCAAGTCTGATGACAGAAGCCTCTTCCCACACTCACTGCTTGGGGACCCTCTGCCTTCCCTTCAAGGAACTGAAGACCTGTTTTTTGCTTTTGTTCACATTTCCATTCTGCCATGGATCCTCTCATGGGTCACAACCTCTCTCCGTCTAAAACATGGGGATAATGACCCTCACCTCTATACCTATTTCACAAGAGTGCTATAAAAACTACAAAGGAATTAAGTTTTCTTAATGTTTTAAGATATCTAGGGGCAGGCATCATAAATGGATTAAATCTAAAGTCCAGTGGATTATGGTTCTGGGTCCAAATTTATGCTCTTACCATATTAGGTATCTTTTTGGTGTAATGGCCACCATTCTTAGAAGAGTATATTTTTTTAAGCCTGGAAAGAAAACTATTAGTTTAAATATTTGTGTATTCTAAATACCAAATACAGGGCGGCAAGAATAAAACATTTAACATATTTTCAATTGTTATCATGAATAGGAAAATACCTTATTTCTTGAAATTTATATGTATTTTTTCTGTCACCGCGAGTAGCTCTCCTCGACTGTGTCTTCCTTATAGTGCTCATCTGTGGTGTTCTAGTCCTTCTGAAATACACTGCGGCTTTCATTATTGGCCTTCATGGTACATTAACACATCTTAAGCACTGCGATCTTTTCTATCACTTTGATGATAATGTACCCTTCACCATACTCAAAGTAGTTTATGTGGCAGTTACCTTCCCGTGGGCTAAGTACCAAACCTAATAGTAACATATATGACTTACTTTCCTAAGCAAATGCCTGAGCCACCAAAAGGCCAGCAAAGATGAGACGTAGTACAGAATATTCCTCTTCAGGCACGAGTAGAACTAGGCCACAGCTGATTTCACAAAGTGGTAAGCATATGTCAATGCTTAAAATAATAACCCTCCATTGCCCGCCTCTTGATTTTTCAGTGTAAACTTGTGGGAGCTCATGAATAAAATATTTCTCTCTCTCTCTCTTTTTTTTTTTTTTTTGCCAGCCTCAAAGTTTATGTTAGCCCTGAGCCAGAAGAAATGAATTTTTAATTTTTAATCTGAAACATTTTCCTTCTGTTTTTCATAGGTTTCTCCTCAGAAAAGAAAGTCCATCAGTAGAAACACACACAAGTGGAGGAGCATACCGGCCAAAGGGAGAGCTTGGCTGAGGGCCCTCATTTTTCTTTTTACTGGTGGCTTGTGTCAGCACAACTGCACATCATCTACTCCAGGATTTGTGTGCGGTAGTGTTTCCCTTTGGCACGGAGAGAGGAAAAGACTTGGGACAGCTGAGATCCCGATCAAGTTTGAGAAGCCAGCATTACACAACCCAACGCAACGTCCAGGTTCCTCGAAATGAGATGTGGCAGATGGATTATGTGCCATTCTTTGAAACTCTCTTCAGCATATTGCTGCTGGATTTACAGAGACTGATTTCATGATTTCAGCAACTCCACTTTTGGTACAGCGATGCTCTCTGTTGATTGAAACATATATTCCCTGGGGGAAAAGTTTCTGCAGTTGTAAATTTGTAACATTGCTCCTATTGTTTCTGTAGGGCTTGGTTCTTTAGCCAGTTTGACTAGATACTATGTTCGTCATTGTTGACCTTGGTGAACCTAGGAATAGGACTGAAGACCTGTATAGATGTCCTTAAACTAAATGAATGGTTCAATCTGAATAAAACGGTAACCTTGAAACTATGCTTTCAACAGATCCTTCCTTTAAGGTGGGGAGAAATTGTGAGCCTCCTTCATTTTTTCGGTGGGATAGATTATGAAAGATAAAACCCTACTGTGATGATGATGGTTTCGCTGTGCTCATATGTACTTAAAAGTAGTAGTTCAGAGACACATGGATTTGGGGTGAAATCTGTTTGTTCTTCCCATGGATTTGAGTAATTATTGATGAACAACACGTCTGACTTCTCAAACCTATGAAAGCGAAAAATGAATGTATCCAAATTCTATTGCAATTAAATTATACAGTGGCATGACAGATGTCTAAAGACTAAGCAGATTTAAAAGTATTACGTTCATCCATTTAATAAGGTTTCTGCTAGGACCAACTGGAGGTCCTCTTTGTGAGGAGATGTATAGCAGGAGTGTGAGATCCGTGGATATCTGTAATCCTAGAAGCACCTAAAGAAATAAAATAAAACAAAGCTGTCATACTGCTGTCAAAAAAACAATCCAACATACTGCTAAAACTATCTGGCTCCAGCTTCCAGAAGTTATACTACTTAATTCCAGCTCAGACTCTTTCCTTTTTTTCAACTTCTGAATATACTTGCAGCTTTGTGTAATGGGAAGGTGAACCAGCCTTAGAAAGTTAAATACTTTCAGCCTCGGTCTGGCTACTGGGAAGATAATTCCCGGGAAAGAATTATCCTTCTCTTACGTTAATTCTCTAAAGCTTTGTTTTTGCTGCTACTTATTAAAAGAGACAAATCATTCTTGAGCAATACTTCAGCAAAAGTGAATCAGAAAAACAACAGGGTTTACAAGTCAGTTTCGTTGATGCTTTTTTTTTTTTAATTTCCATTTCCTCAGATTTGTGAAGTCATTGCAATAACTTTTAGTGGTGGATTAAGTTTGCCAACTGAGATGTACCTATTGGCGTAAAAACTGAACATACATACAAGACGTACCCTTTGATAGATTCATTCTAGGTAAATCAAACAGCAATAAAACATGATTTAACCATCCTACTACTATTATGGAAGTCATCCTATTATTAATTAGCAAGTTGGCAAACATTGGCAAGATTATGCAAATGCTAATGTAATGGGAAGAACTCCAGTTTAAGTGGGACCTAATTTAATTTGAATTCCCAGTGGGTGACTGCAAATGTAGGAAGGGGACCCCTTGCTCAGAGTGCAACAAAAGACAGAATTTCTACAAGAAGACAGATTTCTACAGCCCTGGCCCAAGAGCCAGCCAGTCCCTCCTGTGTCCCTCTCCCCAAATCATTTGTTTGGGGGCTTCTGTCTCAGCCCATGATAAGGGTCATCCTCAGCTGTGGCACTTGCTTCATTATCATACACAATTTGTGGAAATTATGTGAGGAACAGCTGTGTCCTTTGAAAGGAGAGGAAGTCGTACCACACAGTCTCTTTTATCCCGGAAATGGAACATGAGGGCACATTTTAAGTTTTTGATGATCATGGAGAATTTGACCTTGAAGGTATCACATGAAGAAAAAGGTATATTCACCTTGTCTTGGTTGTGACATGAAGTCAAAAAGAAAACCTTCCTTCGGGTCTGGTAAGGTCTGGGAGTTAGTTGACCCCGTTTTTCTGACAAAAAGGATATTTTGGACTAAATTGCTAATATGAAGCATGAACAGACTTCCGGGTAATTTTCTTTAGTTTATTTACTGAGTTCTATCACTTAATGTTCAAGTGCATTACATGGTAGAAGTATGGGTCTAAATGGTCGCTTTCATGTATCAATACTTTTAATGTAGCTCAGTCACGAGTGAAATCAAATCTAAAAGACATATGACCTCCCAACTCAGTAATTCAATTTAACAATTTTTTATTAATTTTTTTTTTTAAAATATGGAGCGCTTCACCAATTTGTGTGTCATCCTTGCTCAGGGGCCATGCTAATTTTCTCTGTATCATCCCAATTTTAGTATATGTGCTGCTTAAGTCAGCACAACAATTGTTAGATGAATACCCATTATTTTCAAAAATGTCTAGGCAGCGCCAAACATCACACACTGCCTCTGTCTCTATGCACTATTTTTGGTTGAATCCATATTTGGAGGGAAGGGCAGAGCCATTTAGCAGCTTTTATTCTCCCCAATTTGGGGGTCCTTCTGCCCCCTTTTCATTTTTGCCATTTTTATTTCCATCTTCCCAGGGACCCCAACAATATTAGATCTGGAGGAGATTTAGAATCAGGTGCATTGCTGTTGCAGCTACACTACAATCCTCCCTTCCCTGCCTCAAAATTGCCTAAGCTCCAGTCATACAGCTTAAAAGAAAAGAAAATATTTGCTGCAATTTTTAATAATTTTAGAAATAATTTCTCTTGCTTCATTTCCTTCTTACATACCTCCCTCTTCACTCCCATCAGTCTTTTGGTCCAAGGAAGAAAGGTATTCTGGGGGAACAATTATACTCCCGGTGTCTGTGATTCTGTAAAAATGGAAATTTCTACCAGCACACACAAATCACACACCCACACACTCACTCTGCACTCACACCACACACACCATATACACACACCACATGCACGTATATGCCACACACACGCACAGAGACAAAACCCAGACACACCACACACCATGCTCGCCACACACAGACACACCACACAGACACCCCACACGTGCACATGTATCACACACTCCACACACCCTGCCTCTCCCTTCTTACCTATTTGTCTTCATTTTCTCCATTTGTGACCGGGGAGATTTATTCAAATGGGAAATTTTGCATGATAAAGCTAATTTTTTTTCATGTTGCCTCAAATCCCTGTATGTATAATATATTGCCAAGAATACTGACAAACTCCATCCTAGGCCTCCTACAGGAAGCAGTAATGTTGAGATCTAGAACCAAATAATTTGCCAGTAATTGCTAAGTAATATGAGACTTTTAATGTTTACGGGAATGTGTGAATTTGACTAATTTGTGTATTGCACAAATTATTTTATAGTTTAAATATAAATTTAAATTATAAAATAATTTTTCTCTGCTCTCCTCTGATTTTATTCCATTCCAATATCAGAAGGAGGAGCACAATTTATGGGTCTCAGGAAATACTATTTGGTAAACTAAACCCAACCCTTAGGGCTTCCTGGATATGCTTATCTTATTACTGAGCATTAATTTGCTGAAAGAATCCATCTTATTAACTGATTTTCCTGAGTCCGCTCTTGCCTGGCAGGAGTGTGCTTAGATGGACTAGCAATTTAATTTGCACATCTGTGGGGGAACCTCATGGCTCCCCTCTCTCTCCTATCTGCAGCCGAAGTTTGATGACCCACCTCAGTCAACCACAGACACACCCACGGCTGGCAAGAATAGGAATGAGACCCCCTAGGGGTGCCTGGGCAGCACAGTCGGTTAAGCTTCTGACTCTTGGTTTCAGCTGGGGTCATGGCCTCAGGGTCGTAAGATCAAGTGGGGCTCTCGGTGGCACTGACCATGGAGTCTGCTTGGGACTCTCTCCCTCTGCCTCTGCCTTCCCCCCACCCCACCTAAAACAAACAAATCTTTTTTAAAAAATGAGACACCCACCCCCTGTCACTCCGAGACACCTGTGCAGGCATATCTGGCTATGCTGAAGTAGAAGAAAATGAGTTTGAGAGACTTGTTTCTTGGTTTCCAAACATCCATTCCTTTGTTTTTGTTTTGTTTTGTTCTGTTTTGTTTTGGAATAGCACCAGGGTATCCTTTAGGAAAGTTATTTTTCCTCATTGGACCCAGTTTGATCTAAAGTGCCCTGGCCTCTCCTAGGCAAGAGGCAACCTTGCGATCTAAACCAGGCTAACCGGACACTCCATTGCTGGAATTTGAACTTCAAGCCCACATAGCCCTGGGGAGGCCATGGTCCTTACACGGCACTTTACATTTGATCGTGTTCTGCAACTTCCATGTATTTGATATGAGCAACCCAGTGTCTCTCCAATCAATTCTTCAAGTCAGAGTTTTTCTTGTTTGAAACAAAAGAACCTTCATTAATTACAAGTGTGAGAGTTAAAGCTCAGAGACTGTCAAGGATATTGTGAGGAATATGTATATGTTACACACACACATTTTTAATATATTTTAAAGTGGAAAATAAGCCTTATAATAATACAATCAGACAAGTTAATTCAAATGTTATGCTTGCCAGTCTTACAAAATATTACCTTGGATCATTGTGCAGTATATTTTAATATGGAAAACACCAAAATAAAAAATAAAATACAATTCTTCATTTGAATTTTCTCCTATATCCAAAAAGCCCCCTAGGAAAATATTTTAATGAGGCAAACTTGGTAAAATTTCCAATGAACTAAAACCACCAAAGCCCACGTCTAACTTCCTTATTTCATTTTCTGAAGTGCTAACTTACGTATAACTAATAATTTACATTTTCATAGGTTGTTAATAAATAAATTACAGGAAATAAAATGCCTTTATGTAAGAACTATACCAAATGAATTTTGCTTTAACATCTCAGTGGGATGATGGGGTTTTTTTCCCAGCAAAGTTAAACTCTTAACATTATAAACTTCCGATTATTCTGCAGCAGAATGTTAATTCAGATGCAGAGTAGTTCCTCAATGAGAAGTTAAGATAAAATTCCTGAATGGCTTCAAAATTGTCTGAGTCAGTACAGTGTTAGATAATGGATTAATTCTACACATATCCTAAGTCTCACCTTGATCAAATATCTATTTTGGATGTTATTATTTGTCAATGTCATTTACTAGAAATGTGTTTCGTTTTTATAAAAATGTATGGTGTGTGCAGTGATGGGCCATGCAAAAAGAAACAGAGGCACTTTCTATTCTTTCTATTGTCTAAAGAAAATTATTCTAGCAGCTGTAGGGAGGATGCACTGAAGCCAGGGAGAGTGAAGCTCCTTTTAATTTCCAACATATTTTTTGGGCTTTCAATGTCTTTAGAAGTATCATATTTTTACGTAAAGCACAGAAGACAGTCAGAATTTGGCAATTTATATGGAGCAAAATATTATAATAC